GGCACTATCATTCTGCTTGGGCCGAATTACTTGATTAAAACGCATATCAACTATTATGTGATTCGTTTTCTGCCTCTGCTCCACACCACAGCCCTCTAAACTATGTTAAACTGTAATACAGCTGCACAGGCACGAGCAAATGCTGGAGAATGGGGAGTTTACAGGTTGGAAAGGGGAGGGAGGGGGAAACCCAAGCTTTATTGTATGTGCTGTGTCGCTGATTGGTTTTGTGTGTGTCTGGGAATGTGCTTGGACAGGGGCAGAGGGGTGAGAGATGAATTTGAAACACCTCTGTCCCCTCTTTGCAGTCCCACCTGCTGTTGGATGGGCTTGGAGGTGAGTGGGGTTATTCTGCAAACAAATACACATCTCTTTCTCACTGTGAACTCAAGACTTTATCATTTTCCAAGAAGAGAGAGAAAAGAACTGTTCTTGTTTTCACGTCAGAAAGAAAAACCCAGGCAATACAATCCTGTGATGCTGCCACTCTCTCCTTCTCTCAGGCTTTCCATAGTCTTGTTTGCATTTTGATGGGTTTTGTTTGCTTTCTGCCAGAGGGAAAGGCAGATGCTAAGAAGACAGGGAGAGTTTCAGCTCTTGCTTCTGAAGCTGTTGGCTGCAGATCTAGCACAGGAGCCATGCCCTGAATCAATGGCTGCTTCCTACTGACCCTTGCTATCCCACCTGGGACACTAGCTTGCATCTGAGAGCTGAGCACTCCCACCTCCCTATATGTGCTAGAGAACAGCAGCAGAGCCCTCTGCTATGTCCTCATCTAACTTTGCTCTATCCAGAAGCTCTGCTATGGATGCGCTGGGCTGAAGCACACCTTCTGTCAGTCCTGGCATGGTACACAGGCTAGTTGCACAAACAGGTGGTGAAAAAAGAGCATGGAAATAGCAGCATCACAGATCTGGCCTGTGGCCAGTTACAGCCTCAACCTGCTAAATATACTGTGGGTGCTTGAAAATAGAACAGGGAAGAATAGAGTAACATTGTGGATGCAGTGAATACATGCAGATCTTTTCCTTGATTTATTATTTCATGCCCTCATAGCAATCAAGAGAGATTTCCATCTGTGAGATGGGTAGCTCCTTTTTGTCTCGTGATAATGTGGCTCTGTTTATTAAGTCAAGCAAAAGCATCATGCTGCAGGTGAAGCTGCACTTTCCGAGGCCATTGAGAGCCTCTTTATTGTCCTCCATCATAAAACTGCCTGACCTGAAACTCAGGTATATACAGGACTAGAAAAACATGCATATATTTCATTGTTGGGGAACCAAGAAGGGCACCTTTGATGGATGAAGAGCTTTGTGAGCAAGGGGGGACCTGGCATAGTGCTCTAATGAGGGGATATTCAGATCTCTGGGATACCACCAAAGTGAGATTTGCCTTCATTCTTGTGCCATCCAACCCAATTTCCCCTGGGGCACCTTCAGCTTCCCAGCTGTCACCTCCAGCCCCGCTTTTGTGGAGCATCACTGCTGCTCCAGCAGTGCCTGGGTGGGTTTGCTGAAGCCATTTGCAGCACAAACAGTGCAGTTGCAGCTAAGCCATCCACAATACCATCCCCTTCTTCTTCATCTCTCCTCTCCAACATTTAATTTTTAGGATGGTGCAGCTGGAAGCAAGAGAGAAAGAGACAGGAAATGAGAGAGAGAGGGTGACAAAGAGATGAGAAATACTGAAGGAGAGCGCATGTGGTTTCCCTTTCCCCTCCTACAAAATCCAATCCCCACTTTAATGAATGCGTTTTCATGCCTGGTCCTGCCTGCCAATCCTTCCAGACGGCACCAAGGTGCTTCACGACGAGGCAGCAGGTCCTTGTAGGGCATCAAGGGCTCAGTCTGAGCCTGGAGGGTCTTCTCTTGGCCGATTCCACCTAATCCTGTTGATTAATTTAACTCTGGGGCTAAGAGGAGCCCAGAAGCAGTGAATGGAGCTGGAGAGGAGAAGGGGGGAGGATGGAAAAGCTGAAGAGGGAGGACAAATCCAGCCCGTAATTATGGAGGCTTTTCCTTACTCCTCTCCTCCAGCCTCAGCCTACTTGTGTTCCTTTCAAACCCCTCCAGAGTGCTCTGCTAATTGTACTACAACCTGAACCAGCAGCATTTCTCAGCAGTGTTGAGTTTGTGGGCTATCATTTACACATCTCCTCCTGCTAGGATGGGCCCAGGACAAGCCCAGGCATACATATTTCACCTGTCCTACGTCAGTCGGTACACCTACAGGCTCTGGCCATACTTCTTTCAATGGAGAAGAGCCATTACGGACCAGTGCATCCTGCAACCTATCCATTTTTCTTTTTTGTTTTCCTTTGTGAGATTTTCCCATCTCTTCACTTCTCCCTTCTGCTCTTGCTCAGCCAGTAGGATACCAGGGGGAGCTGTGAGCAGACAGCTAGCTGCTTCCCATCCTCCAGCACCATTAGTGATCAGCAGGAAGCTGCTGCCAGGTACCTCTCCACCATTTTATTGACAGCGTGCACACTGCTGCCTGTGCTGAGTAAGTGTAAAACTCTGCCAACATGTGCTCCCACAGTACCCCATTATGCTAGAGGCTGCAAAATGGGTTTTCCCTTTGCTTGTGCTGGTTGGAGTGCAGTGTGTCTGTGTTTCACATGGGGATGTGGAGCAAGAAATGAAGCACTCAGGTTTTGGATTGATCCCCTGGATTTGCTTGGGAAGGGAGGTTTCCTTGAGTTACTCCTGCAGCTCTGGGAAGCTTCTCATTGCACAGAAACTTCATGGAGATTATGGCAACGGTTTGTCCAGCACATTTAGGAGTGGAAAAGACCTGTTTGATCCTCGAGTCGTGCGTTAGGCAGGTAAGGGACAGTCCCTGTTATCAGGGGATGCTCTAAGTAACAGGCTCATATTGCAGTCTATCTCAGCCAAACGACTTTCTGTATTATTTAGTGAATCTGTGGCTGACAGCAGCAGCTGCATCGTACTGAGACCAGCTGGTTCCAGGCGTGCCCTGGGATTTTTCTTGCTCTCTTGGTTTTGTCTTTGTAGTCGGGCTGCTGGAGCCTTGGACTTGGCACGAGGAGCTGCGGCTTCTTTTCCCAGCTTTGCTCCTGACTCATGGGGTGACCGTAGGTGGGTGACTTCCTCCATCCCTGCCATGGCTGTGAAATGGAGATAATGCCAGCTGGGGGCTGCTTGGAGTCTCGCGGATAGAGAGTGTTACATCAATTTACGTGGCAACTTTGGGCTTTCTCTCTAGCCCTGTAGCCAGGGTGATGGCCAGCACAGTCACCGGTGCTGCTGTGAACAGGACAGATTGTTACTGGTGACAATTGGTTTTCCTTTCTCAAATCCTTAGGGCAAATCAGGGATCTGGACTTTCCTCACCTTTGGAGATGCTGGATCCCAGCCTTATTGTATGCTGTGTAAGCAGCTGCATCAAGAAAGCAGTGAGCTGTAGTAGATAACACAGCCCACAGTGTATTTTCCTTCTCTCTCACTGACCCTATCACATTCTGAACCAAAACACACTTCTGTCCTTTTTTTTTGTATCGATTATCACCAAAAAATCCTAATTAAATCAATAATAGCCAGTGACTTATGTGATCAATGTGCAGAACTCTGCCGTGTGCTGCAGGTTTCCAGATGTGCTTTGGCACAACACGGTTCTCCAAGCTCCAGATGTGCTTCTACCTGCCCCAAATCATCTGGGGTGCAGATGTGCAGGGCTGCTGTTCTCAAGTACAGATGTTCCTCTCACACCATTTGAGATTCCAGACCTTTCCTGAACACGGATGCGATCAGAAAGCTGCTTAATGGACACAACTGGAGTTAGCTCAGCTCTAACGTTGTGTCCTCGAGACATAAAAGCATTTTTGTCCCTCAGCAAGCAGAATGCGATGGCATTTTGTGATCTTCTCAGGATAAACAAGTGAGCTCTGGTGGGATGTTTGCCTCCTACTCCTCCAAGCAGAGCAGCTGTTGGGGAGGCACAGCTGCCATTCCCAGCTCTGAAAAGAGAGGAGCAGATTTCGGGTGATGGCAGCACAGGAACTGAACAAAAAAATTCAGTTGGATCCTTGGGTGCACAGCTTTGAAACTCAGGCTTTGCTCCATGAGATGCTGCTAGCAAATGCTAGAGACATTGGTAATGCTGTTGGCAGTGTGTTCCATCCAAAACCCAGTGGGTCTGAGTGGAACTTTGGTGAAAATCTGTGCCTGCTGCTTCATTTCCAAGCCGAATAGGAAGAAAAAAGAACAGAATGAGATTTGCTTATTCCAGCTCTACTATGGGGGAGAGAGAAAAGCAAAGAGATTGAGGGGACCTGGGGCTCAAGAAGGGAAAGGCAAAAGTCCAGAACAAGGCAAGGGAGAGGAAGGAGGTGATCTGTTAGACTTTGGTGAAGGACTTTGATGCTATCTTTATGCACTAAGAGTCTGACTGTGTGCAAAATGACCACTGAAATCTGCAAAGTAAGAGAAGAAGAACTCTGTGGATTGGGCAGCCCAACCCAGAGATGAAGCAGAGATGGCAATGTTTTTCCCAGCTGGAAAAATTCCTAATAACTCTCTTTTCCTTCTCGATGTGCTTTAAAAATTTGAAATCTCAAAGGCTAGCGCTTCAGCAAAACACAGGAGGAAATCAGACTGCAGAAGCAAGGCATCATAGATTGAAAATCTTTCAGATTTTACGTATTTTCAATGTAAAATGTGCAACACTTAAACACAGTCCCTTCAAACCAAAAATGGAAATCACTTGAGGTAACATAAGCCAAGCTCTTTCATTGTGACCACTGTGGGCTGTGAAGCATCCCTTTGTGCAAACGGTTCTGGTTTTGATAGATTGGCTTTTAACAGCGTGGGGAAAGATAATGGGAGAAAACTGTGGTAGTGGTGGAAAACTGGTAGATGTGTTGTATGTAGGCAGAGCATTTGTTTTGGTGGACACCATCTCTGTAGCAATGAGGTGTGCCCTACAGCCTTTCTCCCTGTCTCTCATTAAGCATCATTCCCCCCTTCTTGCCCATGCAGGGAACAGGCTGGATGAAGGTTCCGATGTCGAATCCGAACCAGACCTGCCTTTGAAGAGGAAGCAGCGCCGCAGCCGGACCACTTTCACTGCAGAGCAGCTGGAGGAGCTGGAGAAGGCTTTTGAGAGGACTCACTACCCAGATATCTACACCCGGGAGGAGCTGGCACAGAGAACCAAGCTCACCGAGGCCCGTGTTCAGGTAGGAACCAGAACCCTAGGATGAGTCTGGCAGCACAGCTTCTTGTTTCCCTTGGGGAGATAGACATTAGTGTTGGGGATGGAAGGTGGAAATTTGGATGGACCTCTTCTCTGGAGCCTCAAGCATGAGAATCTGAGGCTAAAATCCAGTTGTGCGCATTCCCGCATTCCCGTGGGTTTGCAGCTATGCCATTTGGGTTTGGCTTCTTGCAGAGGTACCAGCTGCAGGATTTCCATCCAGGTTGGGATGAGGAGCCAAACATTTCCCTTCTTGGCAAGGCACTTAGCTCTCTGTTTGCTGTGTGAGGAAATTCCTCGGAGGAAGCAGTATGTGTGTGTTTGTATTTGGTGCTGGAGGAGAAATGGCACCATTGACCAACCTCGCCCAGGGGAGCAGATCATATTTTGCAAAGTTTGCAAGATGCGGGTGTGAATTTTCATCAAACTTTCTTTTTTTCCCCCCGATCTCCGGAGAGCACAAAAAGGGCGGGGGGGGGAGAAGGGGGGGGAGAGGGAAGAAGAGGGGAGGAGCAGGAAGGGAGGGTTTGGGGCCGGGGGACTCTGACATCTACACGATTAATAGCCCTTGTGGGAACTCCACACAGAGACCCTTATGTCTTCCAGATAAAGGCTGGGTCAGCAGTGTGTGCAAACACGCAGAGGGATCAGGAGTGTGAACAGATCGGGGGGTATAATAGGGTCCCTTGGGGAAAGGGAAGGGAAGGGGGAGGGAATGGGGATTGTGCTGGGTTAGAGAAGTGAAATGGAGACCCCAGCAGTCCGAGCTCCGCGTGGCCGTGCGATTGGGTTTCAGGCTGAGCACTGAGCTGCGTGCGTGCAGCCAGAGCTGGGCAAGGAGGGAAAGAGCACTGTGGGCTTGTGGCAAGACCTGTTAACCAGCCCCTCCAACACAGAACAGCCTTTTAGTTTTGTTCCGTGGTTCTCAGCGTAATGAGTGCCACAAGCTCGCCCCACGCTGTTGGTACAGGGATGTTTGCCCTCCTGTGCACACCTGGGCAGTGATGGGTTAAAGGCTATTCCCATCAGCAGCGTAGCAGCTGCCTTCTCACCTTCCAGCTTCCCCTTGAGAGTGGAAATCCAGCATCCAGGGTCTGCTTGATAGAGCCAGCAAAAAAGAAATCTCGTGAGCTGACTCCAGCCAAAAAAAACCTTATCTGAGTTTTCAACAGGAGTAGTGATAATTTGCTAGACATACAGGACTGTAGATAGATGGAGCCTGGGAAAAGTGGCTAACTTAGGGGCTAAGCCACCAGAGATTGTAGTATGAGATTTCCCCCATTTTTGTTTTGCATATTCTGCTTCTAAGAATTCCTTGTGTAGATTGACATGGGATTTTTTTTTTTTTTTTTTAAGGGCATTGTAAGGGAGAATGGAGTTTAGGGAATATCTCTTAATGAGGCACGAGAAATCTGCATTGCATGAGCCTTGATGGAGAGGAAGGGGAAAGCCCCAAAAGTACCAGGGAGTGCAAAACCCAGCAGCAGGTTTCTCTTTTTTTTCCAATAGGTTCTGACCTCACCGTGACAAGGCTGGGAGAAGGGAGGGAGGCGAAAGCAGAGAAAGGGAAAGCTAAATAAATAAATAAGGGGAACCTTTCCCTTGTTTCAAGCTGTGATCTCTGAATCCCCCTACTTGCTCCCAGGCAGCTCGCGTGGAGGTTCCTGCCAGGGCTCTAGTAGCAGCTGTTCTCTGAGGCACATTCCTGATGGCTTTCTCATTCCGACATCCTGGCAGGCTCAGCTTCTTCCCACCACTTTTAAGCCTGCCGCCCCTTGTAAAATTTTCTGGATATCAGAGCAGATCTTTTACTGGCTCTCGGGACCTACAAACATTAGTCAATCAAGTTCTTGTGGGGGGAAGAAAAGCCACACACACACACATACATCCAGCGGGGAAATCTTCCACCACCTTGTAGTCTTAGCTCTGTTTGGGAAGAGGTTTTAAGGTTAAGAAATTGCACTTTGGGTTTGAGGGAGCTGTAATGACGGTAGGACCAGCTGAGATCAGGAGTTCTGGGTGTTAAGGGACAGACTTTGTCCCCAAGAGCATTTTGTGTTAACATGGGAGGAGGGTAAATGAAAAATACACTCGGAATAGATGATCTTGGAGGTCTTTTCCAACCTTCTATGAAACTCAGTTCTGCAGCAGAGCTGCCGTCAGGCTTTCTAACTGTATTGTATATGGGCACAACTTCTGCACGGCATCCCATTGAGCTAATTGCTGCATCAGCACTGGACAAAAATAAGCAGGCTTGTCTGTCCATGCTTCTCCTTGCCTCTTTCTCTTCCTTTTCCATATGAAAGACGAGCTTGCCCAGCTCTCACTCAGTCTCTCTGATACCTGAGTGCTCCTGTAGTGTAATCTCCTCCACGTGAAAAGCTGATAGCTCTGTTAAACTTTATTGGCAGACCTTAGAGTCCGGCTGGTCATGCAGCTGTCCAGCTAAGTGGAAGTTTGACACGTTGACAGCTAATAAAATTCCCAAGCTGAACAACAAGAGGAGGTGGAGGGGGAGCGCTCCCAAGCTCCGGTTTCTCATCTGCTAGGAAGATCACGGCAGGGTGAGCAATGCTTTAGCAAGGTCAGAGCAGTGTCTGTGTGGTTGGGATGTGGGATTCCAGCATTCAAGCTACAACACGCCGTAGGGTTCGAGCCATTCAAAGGTTAATCCCAAATTTGATGTAGACAGGGACAACACCACTGTGGATTTCCGCTAGAGCAGGATTTCAGTTCCAGATTGGTGCCAAACGAGGCCACCAGTGGAAATTCCCACTTGTTTTCGTGCAAGGCGATGTCTTGACTCATGTGCCCACACTAATTGCCCAGCACTAAAGGAATTCCTGCCCATCTGCAAGCTCCTGTTTTCACCCTACCAGCAAACAAGCTGCCGAATGCCAAGCGTTCATGGCTTTTTAAAATTAAGCCTAACAGCTAAGCAGTTCACTTAGTGAATTTAATGGAAGCTTTGGGTTTGATCTGCAGTGTATTTTGGGGTTTTACACTGTTTTTTTGCAATTATATAACTGGCGATGACAATGTTTTACATGGAAGAAAAACCAAACCAACCTTAATGGGATTCTCTGATAATTTTGAAACTTTTCTCCCTGGTATTTCTAGAGAAGGGACAGTTTTCAGAACAGCCCTTTTCTCATAGTCTCAGCTTTGTCAGTGCAGCATTTTTCAATGGGAGAACAGTTTTGTCGGAAATCCTTACCCAGGTGTGGAAATGATTTCTCAAGGTGACAGTGCCCAAAGAGACACTGGGTACATCAGTCATGGCTCTGCAGAGTTGAACCTAATTCCTCTCGGAGATGATCCCATTTGTTGGGTCTGTTTGCTCAAACACGTTGTGCTTTTAAAGCGAGTTATAAACAAATAGCAGGCGCTTATTTCACTTTGGTGTTTGAACAACATCAACGAAAAGAGTATATGTCCCCTGATCAGCCCCACAATCCAAAGCCATTTAGAAGTTTGTACGTTGGAAATGGAGACCTTGGTGCATAGGTTCCCACACAAACAGCCCCTTTCCCTTCGCCCTGGTGCTACGGTGAGTCAGACATGGTGGGTTCCAAAGGATGATCTCAAAATCCTTTCCCAGAAATCCACCAAAATCATCTGCAAAAAAAAAAAAAAAAAAAAGATGGTTTTGCTTCTCAGCATCACCTCTGAGTGATTCAGGTGGTGATACCACAGCAGCTGGGGACAGGCATGCATTCCACAAGCGCTGTTAATCCCAGTTCCTAGAACGATAGAGTCATAGAATCATAGTTTGAGTTGGAAGGGACCCTAAAGGCCGTCAGATCCAGCAATGGACAGGGACACCCACAGCTCCATCAGTGCCCAGAGCCCCATCCAGCCTGACCTCGGGTGTCTCCAAAGATGGGGCATCACCACCTCTCTGGGTAACCTGTGCCAGTGCCCTGAATTAAATCAGGAGGGGTGGATTTGTAGTGATGTTGATGCCTGTTGTTAATCCCCAGGAAATTCCATGCACTGAGAAACAGTTATTTCAATAACAAAATTAAACGAGAGAGCAGGAGTCGCAACCCAATGCTTTATTGATCATTTTTATGATGGATCCCATTGTGATTTCTGCCTGGGAGTAAATGGATGTTTCATTTAATAAAAAGGCTCAGAGCAATTCTGTCTCTGAAACCTCGGTGCATTTCTAGGCTACTCACATCATCTGTATTTTATGACACACTTTCAAACAGTAGTAAACAAACAGCCATACTCCAGATCATGCTGTGACGGCTCCAACATGCCAAATGGAGTGCCAGAAAAAAAAATCCATTCTATTTTGCTCAAGATTTTGCACGAAGCAATTCTGTTCTCAGGATCAGGGGACCTGCAAACCACCGTTTCCATGTTTTGTAGCAGCTTTCTGCAGTCTATTTTCCAGGTTACCCAGAGAGCTGTGGGTGCCACATCCTTGAAGGTGCCCAAGGTCAGGTTGCATAGGATCCTGGGCAGTGTGAGCTGGTGGGGAGCACCCAGCCCACAGCAGGTGGTTGGAATTGGATGGGCTTTAAGGTCCCATCCAACCCAACCATTCTGTGGTTGTGTTATTTCCCAACAACTTTCTCAAATGTCTTCGCTCTGTGCTAGAGGGGTGCTCTCACACCAGCTGTGGTCAGAGGTCCGTGCTTTGCTTTCTGAAGGCAGAGGTGATGGATGGAGGGGTGGGGTGGTGACAGGCAGCTCTCCAAGCTCTGAGCTTGAGCTGGAGTCATGCAAAGCGGTGGGAGCCTGATGCTGTTTGCCTGGTGTTTTGCTTCCCAAACCCTTTGAGATGTGTCCAAACAGGCTCTTTTGAAGCAATCCTCCACCCTTAAAGGTCAGCTGAGAATGTTTTCTTTCTTCCTGAGGGTCCCACTCATTTACACTTCTTGAAGAGAGCTGCGAGGGGGTTATGACACAACAGCTGCCCCGTGGTTTTGGCATTGGTGCAGTGCTGCGGAGCTGGGAGCTGGGGCTCTC